CCTAGATCATGCACTGTGGCTTAAATAACTAAACTACCTGAGTTCTGGAATTTATTATTCTCACAACACGGTTAAGAAAATGGGCTGGATATTGGAAATGGATAATATAAATTGATATTTTTCCCTTCCACCACCCAGATTCTGACATTTGTATGGTTTGAAATTAAAATAATTTAAAAGCATTACAAAATTGGTTTGTACAAAGCATTGGGTTCCAGCCTAAACAAAGACTAAAATATTAGAGGCTGTTATTTAAAAAAATATTCAATTCACTTACAGATGTTTTCTCTGCTGGGTAAGAAAAATATTCTCTTAGGTCTCCAAAGTCTACTTTCCCATATAAATCTGTATGGTTTTATATTTCCAAAGTGGAAAGGGCTCAAAAGGCTCCATGCATCTCCCAAGCACAGTCTGTAGAAATGAGCCAATCATACACTCCTGTTTTGTGTCAATTTCAAGTATTGCAGCAGCAACAAGGCTGAATTTGAAGTCCTAACTTGAGATTCAAACTGGAATAGACTCTTTTACCTCCACAAAGAAAATAAGGCTTATTTTTCATTTGCTACCAGTTCTATTTAAAACACTTTCAGCTGATTCTAAACAGTTTTAGTTTATGAAGCCAGGTTGCATATGTACTGTATGTTTCGGTTCACATTCTACAGGGGGCTTTTAATTTTGAGTGCAGGGAATAAAGGGAACCTGGAGGCAATTATAAATTAAGTTTTAAAGTGTCTTCACTTTTTATATCCATTTAGATTCCACAACATTTTAGGTTTCTGTATTCTGTGGCATTTTACATATTCAGTGGCCAGATCCAAACTATAGTGTGAGCACAGGGCTTTGGATATATTCCACAGCTCAATTACTTTTTAAAGTGATTTTGAGAAATCAATGGTTTGGCAATGACAGTCTCTTTACATCTCTCCTCAGTTCACTTGGTTCTTGTTTATCTAATCTCTCTGAGTCCTGTGACTGTGTTTAGGCTCCACAGAGTACCAGCAGCTCTGCTAGGGTGTCTTTGGCATCTGGCAATATACTGTAGCTCAGTGGACCTTCAACAGGGAACATTGCTGTTGTCAAATCAAATGTAACTGTTCAGAGCAAACAGGCAAATGCAGTTCACAGCAGGCCTTTAAAAAAGGTAATGAAGACAGGTTTTCATTTAAATCAGATATTAAAAGCAAAATTAAGAAATGGCTCTCAAAGGCCAGAAAACAACAAGCAATAGATTTGGGATAACAATCCAGATTTTTTCTTAATCTTCATCCAAGGCCACTGGTAGTGTGATTCAGACAAATTGAGTTTTGTAACCTCTTGTAACAACTGCTTTCTTTTTGGATTTGTGTTCTGAAAGTCTGTGAAGCCTAAGAAAGGAATACAAAATGTATTATCCAAACTCCTAATCTTTCTGATGTGAAGCCAATTTTTTTTTAACTGTTGGAAGTCACGGCATCCATTCAAAATAAATATCAAAATATGAATAATATGTGGAAATTAAACTGATCGGTCAGTTTTGACACATGGTGGGAGTCAGGAGTTTATCTGTTTATTTTAAAAAATGTGTTGCACAATCTTAGATCATATTCACAATTTAGACTTGCTCAGGATAGTTGGATTGGTCAAATATTAAAGCATTTTGTAAAATATAACTACAGGCATTTTGTAGTCCCATGAATAATTACGGAGGAAAAGCAGCCAATGGAAATTATGGTACACAACTGAATAAACTGATTTATCACATCATATGTCTGCCAAGTAAATATCTGTCCTTCTGATCAAATAAAACAAAAGCTTAGAACTCTAAAATGAATTATTACCATGATAGGGATATTACGGAACACAAACAGGAACCCTTATGGGTTCAGCAAAAGAAAACAAATAGCTTTGCCCGTGACCTCTGATCTTTCCCAAACATCACACAGAAAACTTCTAACAGTGTTCAGAAAGGATCAGAATTATTGTGGAACATATAAAAAAACATATGCACTCTATCAAAAAAAAAAAGTCCTGAACCCTCTTAAAAGTGAAATGCAAAACTATCTTATAGCTCCTTAGAGACTGTACCTAGAGTCATTGTTATTCCAGAATTGTATAAGCTCTTCCAAAGAAAGTCCTCATCCACAAAGGCAATAGGTCAGCTTGGCCACCAATGAACTCTGCTTGCTGCTTTAAACCTGATAACTATGTTTTCTGACTTTCAAAGTACCTACAGTACACACAGTTTGCCACACCTGAAGTGCAATGAAGTAGAGCACATTTTTGCAGAACAGTGAAAAGAGCTCGTTGTGGTAATCTTGTGACAACACGCCTGTTGGGACAGTCCCACAGTGTAGGCTGAGTCACAGGAATGCAGAGGTAGAGTTGTGAGGTTATTTACCAGGTTTTGGATTGTTTCCCAGTCTGAACTGCAGTGACTTACATTGCTTGCGTTAGTCTGTGCATTGTCCAGTGAGCACAGACTTTTATTGGCAATCTGCTGGCAATTGCCAGCAGCCATTATCACCCTGCAACTCACAACTGGAAACCCACTGAAGCTCAGCAGCTGTGAGCCTGGCCAATACCCGGATCAGAGACTCCTGGGAAGGCGAAGGTAGCTGCTGGAAGAGGTGTTAGTGGAGCCAGCTGGGGGTGCTCACCCTGTGGTCTGTGTGAGTCCCAATGCCCCAGTATAGTGACAGGGACACTATACTGTAAAAAGGCAGCGTCCCTCGCATGGGACGTAAAACTGAGGTCCCGATTCTCTGTGGTCATTAAAAATCCCAGGGTGTTTCTCAAGAGTAGGGGTGTAACCCTGGCAGCATGGCCAAATTATTAATTGGCATTTACCAATGATGGCCTCCTAATAATCCCCATTTCTGAACTGGCTTCATTACTCTGTTCTCCTCCCCACTGAGAGCTGGTATGTGGTGAGTGTACTGGCGCACTATGGCTGCTGTCGCGTCATCCAGGTGGGGCTGCACATTGGTGGTGGTGGAGGGGAGTCCCCATTACCTGTAAAGCGCGTTGAGTGGAGTGTCCAGAAAAGCGCTATATAAGTGTAAGCAATTATTATTATTATAATTATCATCATCTTTGGCTTGAATGCACTTGACTGAAGAAGAACAGTCTAAGCATGGCTCAGAAACCTTCATGTGAAGAGGAGCTCTTGAGAGTAACAGAGGGGTAACAGTGAGAGTGGGTTCATCAAAATAAAAAGTAGACACTACAGGGATGTTACGTATTTTGCTGACAATTAGTAGTTATGATTTTTCCAAAACAACTCTTAGCTTCATTTGCACACAGATGATTCATTACTAGCTTTAAATACCAGCCCTTAAGCTTAAGAATCTTCTTCATTTACTTTGTTTGCAGAGACACTAGTACTTGACTGCAAGTCATACTTGTACTATGATTCATCATTTTTTTTATAGAAATGACATTCCACCACCACTATATTAATGATATTCCTAACAAATAGCTTTTAGAAAGTCAAATGGCTGGGTTTAAGCAAGAGTTGTATTAAATCAGACCTGATATTTCATCTTTTAGAGTAAAATGAAAACAGTTTACTTTGATTTATTGCACTCTTGAGCCAAACTATTTCCCACTGTATTGCTTTCTTAAGTCACATTTAACTACTAGGAAAATGATTTCAACCACCAACACTAATTATAACAAAGACTAAACACTTCCTTCTGCCAGCATAACAGCTTTTCAATACAAGAACAAAATATGAGCAGGGGGTGAATTGTTTGATTTAAGCCTTTTCCACATATAAAAACATGCTCTCTTAGGGACATTTCAGCTGCACTTTAGTATTCTGCTGTTTGTGAAAAAAGAATAATTGTAGAGAACAAAAAAAGTATGGCCTTGGATATGAAAAAACATAAAATGCCAGCAGGAAGACCTAGCATTAGCTACTATATGCCTTAGAACACTATTATTTCAATTTCTGTTATGTGACAACGTGCAATTACAAACTTCACTTTTAAGAGGCCTGTCAGCACTTCACATATTTCATTTTCCTTTAACTGACAGTGTATTTTAAGAAAAAAATATGTGGTAGCATTCCTTCTTCAACCGTTACCGTGTTGCAATTACAAACCAATACTTCTCCTATGCAAACAAATTTTCCGCAGGTAAAGCAAGCATTCCGCCAAATTTGGCTTGATAAATCAAGCAGGTAGGTTAATTGGCTTCTGGGAACATTGACCCTAGTTCTGAGTGTGTGTGTGTGTGCCTGTCTGTGTACATCTATGCCTTTGAGTGTCTAGCATGTCTGTGTCTGTGTGTCCATTGTATATCCCGATTTGAACCCTTTGCTCCCCTGGATAGGCTCTGGCTCCCCCTTAACCCTGAACTGGAAGAAGGGGTTAGAAAATGGATATATGGTTCCCTGGTGACCTTTAAAAAAAACACAGGTAACAGGAACATTTAAAACATTATGCATCATTACTGGCAAGAAATCTTTCCACAATTCCGGGAACTAAAGAATTATTTGAACAGAGGAAAAAAAAAAATATTTTAAGATATTAATTTGCATTAAGTTTTGAATATAAAGATCTAGGTGTGCATGTAGATTTAGTAAAACAGGCTAGAGATTGCCTGATGAGATCTGGAAACGTTAAGGCTTTAACAACTAAAACCCTCAGTTTGCCGGCTGTTCAAATTCCTTAAGTGGACAAAATAAAAATGACTTTACCCCCACTTACTGATTAAACCCATGTACTGCACTTCAGTAATATTTTCACAAAGACTAGCTGCACATTTTAATTGCAATACTGCACCACCTTATGGCTGAAAAGAAACTACTTTGCTAGAATGCAAAGCAGAGACTAATAACTATGAACTTTCTCTGTTCTGGGTTCTTTCAAGATGAGACTTGGATCAACTGGTTCGAAACCAAAGCAAGCTAGGTTGACTGAACAGCTCTCTATCTTTAATAAAATGACTTTTGAATGAAAATTATACAGCAACTGTATAAGAACATAACAGGAAAAAGACAATAAAACAAGACAGGATAGGTGCCTGTATTGTCAGTTTTATTGATGTTCCAACTTTTGTACTTTTAGCACTACAGAAAGGAATAACAATTTCCATGAATAAATGAAGAAAGCAGGAAGAATATTACCGTTTAAACAGAGTTCACATTTTTAACTAAGTAGACAGGTGACAGTACTTATCAAGCCTACTGTTGATCAGTTATGGATATTCTAAAACTTTAATGGAAACTACAAACCAAAAACAGTTTTTAAACAGCCATGCAAGTGTTTCATATTGATTGAGGTGGACAAAATTCCCATTGTCATCCAGGTGGGCAAGTTCAACAAACAGGTACAACTAGCTGAGCTTTCACATCTTCCTTTAACCCACAGTAGTCATAAAACAGTAAATGAAAAGTCTTTTAACTATGTAAAACAAGACCTCTCACCTGGTCAACAAGATTAAAATGTACTGGTAAGTGAGAATGTAAATGCCCTATTTATACACAGATTTCAGTTATACCGATGCTACCTATGAAAAGCAAGACATCAGTACTATTAAGCAGCTTTCTTAATAAATACAAGCAAAAACATAATAGAAAAGAGATGTGAAGAGAAAAATAAAGCAAGCACATGCAGACAGCTTATTTAACACTGCGTTGACTATATATGTGTGGCTATTCATGCTCTTAACAGTGTTTTGTTTATCACAAGCTGTAAACAACTGTGTTTTTGGTCACTTGAAACTGAGGAGCCAGGATGTGAAAGCTACAGCTTCCAGAGTTGTGTTTTTGCCAAATGACCTGCCATGGGCGTGTTGTCAATCACAACTGTCTGCAGGGAGAAGGATTTTATTCCCAATAAAAATAAATGTGAAAGGGAATACTTCACCTGCCCTGTGAATAAAGTGCTGCAAGAATCTATTTTAATAAGTTAGGACCAACAAGCATTTTTTTCAAATATTGAATTCCCCTAAAGGTCTTTTAAAGAGAACATTTTAAATATTGCCAAAAACACAGAAGCACAAAGTAAGTTCGTATACCTCTTCCTCACGTCAGAAAGTGCCGTAACAATCGCTCTAGTATTCAAAAATCAGTTAACGAAGATTGAAAATTGAAAGACCCATCACTAAAATACTCACCGCTGAGCTGGAGACCATCTCTTAAAAAACTGTAATACGATTATGCTGAAATTTGGTAAGCAAATGTTTCAAAGTAAAAGCATACTTGCTCTAGCCGTGTGTTACCACATCTTGGCCACTGTGAAAAAGTACCTACTCCAGAGAAGTGGTTTGATTCTTCAGAATCAACAAAACCACAAAGAGCCTGTGTTTACTGTATTTATACAAGATTAGTATGACTTTACGCCTAAACATTCTTTCAAGGGTTTTTTACCTAAAAAAAGAAAAATGTTTTGTAGGTTTTAGATGGTTTCATTAGTTGTAGTAAGTTTAATTTGCAAGTATAATCTTTTTAGGAATTTTCCTCATGAGCACAGATGTTCATGGTCACCTTAAGTGTTAACATTATTGCTAGCGACAATTAAAAAAGAATTTCAACAATTTATTTAGCTTAATAGTTGTCCATATTATACTAATGAATTACTTTGAATGCTTCCTACCTATTCTCTTTTAATGTTTCAGAGAGTTGCTTTTGCTTTTGAAAGTTGCCATTTGAAAGAAAATCTAAAAATGATCCAATAAGAAATGCACTAAACGCCTACATTAAAGCAAACTATTAAGACGTCCGTGAATTTAAAAGAATTGCAACCTAAATAGACGTGCACTAGTCAGCACCCAATGCCTCACCAAACCTGACAAAAAAAACATTCTCCGGGTGCCAGACAAGTCTTTTCAAACATGGGTCAACAGGTTATCAGTGCAAAGGCATGTGGACTGGTGTATAATGAATTGTTAACAGCTCTTTCTGACTGGATGTTGACAGCTTTACTTGTTAAGTGTCCGTTACGCTCTCGGACTGAGCACACTTGAGTCACAGCGCCTTCTGATGGGGGCACGGAGGGCTACAGCTAAGCCTGTAGCTCTCCCGCCGATCAGCGCTCACTGCACGACCCCCGCCGGCTCACTTCAGCAGCGGCCCCAGGCTCAGCTCCACGTGGTGGGTGAGCCAGATGGGCTCGGTCCCCTGCTCTGCGTCTTCGGTGGGGCGGATGGGGGCAGCCAGGTTGCGGAAGTCGTGCCGGATCTTGAACGACACCGTTACTTCCCCCTCCTCGCGCTGTGGCGTCACCTTGATGAAAAAGCCAATCTTGTTGGACTTCCTGAAGGCGACCACACTGTGGGGGGGTGGGGGATAACCAAAGACAACGGTGAGAGAGCACCCCGCTACTGCAACAGCATGATACACACTGGGGGTCTTGCAGATGTGTTCATCTCCTCAATCTGAGCTGCCCCAGCTTGTAATGATCAACTGCTGAACTTCTGGCCACTGCCTGAATAAAAGCTTTACGAAACTTTCAGAAAAATGATTCTTCTTTCCAAATGGCCTACTGAAAAATGCATCCTCTCTCCATACTGCTAACGTTATGTTAAAGGCAATTATTTAATCTGTTTATACAAAGGTGTGTAAAATACTAGTGCAAGCAAGTTATGTGGTACACAGTTTGCAGGGATGAAATACTGATAGGAATGTAATACTGGGAACATGTCTGCTCTTACTCTGGATCGTCCTGGAAGTCCTGAGGCTCTGCCAGTTCATCATACTCTGCCGCAGCATCCTTGCCAGCCAGAACCAGCTCCTTAGAAGGAACTACAACCTGCAGGACCGAAATATGGAGGGTGAAGATTGCTGAAAGAGGTCAGCACCAAGAGACACCAGCTATGAAAACTGTTTCAAATAACCTCTTAGGGTTTAGTAATCAAGACTACTGTGCTCTAATAAGAATCTTCTAAACATCCAGAAATTAAAAATGTATTAAAGTCAGTGATACGGATATTTTGACAACTATCTGTGAGAGTGTTTTTTATTTCTTTTGTCATTCAAGATACTATTACTGCAGCTTTTAACTTAAATATTACAAAAACTATATTTCTAATAGTGCTGATAGTCTGAAGACACTGAGTGGAAAATAACTTTTCATCATTTTCAATCACTTGACAGCTCTATTCACTTTCTGATCGTACTGGCCCTTTTTCCCCCCACATATATCTATTCTGTTCACATTTTAAAGGAGTTAGAAGGATTATGGCTGTACATTCGAGTCACATACCTTAGCTGTGCTGTTTAAATCATCCTGGTCTCCCTCCTCACACGGAAGCAGGGCGACATGTGTTACATTCTCTACAGGGTTCGTCAACGTCAGAAGCACCTGGCTTTCCTGTCCAAACATAATGAGTGGCTTAGATGTTGAGTACAATTTAATCTGAACTAGCATTTCTAACTGGCATGACTAGCAATTGGCCCTTTATCAATAAACCACCTACTTACTGATGAATTGGGTGATTACAGCCCATCTTGAGAGCAAACGGCTCAAAGACAGGACTGACAACAAAGGATCACCGCATGGGGCACCAGTCTATCACAGGCCACAGGCAGTGACCATTTAGAATAGCCAAATTCAGAAGTAGCCTCCATATGTTTTTAGGAAGAGAGAGTAAACTGAAGTACAACAAGAAAACTCTACAGAATTAAGAAAGAATGTGCAAATGCCACATAAGCAGACGCCTGGGGCCGGGATAAAATCCTGGATGTTTGGAGTTCTGAGAAAGCACCCAGTAACATTTTAGAACAAAATCTTTCTTTTGGGAGTCAAATTATTCTGCAACTGTTTTAATATACAAAAGAATACAAAAAGCAATGAAAAACAAAACAGGGGAAAAAAATGTACAAAAGAAAAAGTACTGTTTTCCAGTAAGAGTCTCCCCCTTTCCCTATCATCCCACAGGAAAAGATTTCTTTCAATGCATTCAATAAGCTTCAATTTACCCAATTTCAAATTTTGTGAATTAGCAGAAATACCTTTAGAAAACAGTAAAATAAACCCTAATATAAAATAAGAGAATAATAAACACAGTATAAAAATGCACTTGCCTTCATGTATCGCAGGTTTGGAATGGACATGATTCTCACCTCAGGGATGTAATTCCTTAGGGAAAGAAAGTGTTGTTGTTCATAAGCCAAGAATAACATAACTAATATTACTACATTTGGATAAAGACACAGAACATTTATGTGAGCAAACAAAATACTTACAATGCCACCAGCTGGATTTTAAACTTTATTGAAGTGGGATTGAATTCTGGTTTGCTTAAATTGTGCTCACATTTCTGAAATACAAGCAGGGATACAATGACTTAGCCACCAACAGCTGAACGTGGACAATTTTGTCACATATTATTCTACTGCTTTGATGTCATAGTATTGCCTACAGAATTTGCTACAGAACAACTAAGCATGTATTATATATATATAAACACACACACAATTTTTTTTCCTGATCTGACTGTACACTAGTGCATAGTCAATAAAACCTTTGGATTTGTGCAATACAGGGAACGTGTCTCAGTAATGTGTTTTCTTCACTTTACAAGGCAAAGCACACTAAATTTTAAAAGCATATGACAAAGAATCAGACTGTCACAATGCCTAAATATTTACCCTGCAGCGCAGAGAGCGCTTGATCAGTAGGTGCTTGTGTCTTGGGTAAAGCTGAGAGGCTCCTGCAGGCTGGAAGTCAGGCTGCAGAAGACGCTGACGCAGCGTAGTCACTAGGGGAAAAAAGAGCACTTTAAAGTTTTAACTCGCAGGCTTTGCTTGTTCAAGAGTTTGAATTCTCGACAGTCAAAGTTTTACAAGAAGATAAATCAATACCAATGGTATTGATCAATATTGACTTTTCACAACAATTCCTTTCCAAACGAGATAGAGAGCCAAGAATCAAATACAGAATATTAGTTAAGAGACAGAAAGAAAGGTCTCTTGTAGTACCTGGTTCTTCTTCTCACTTAGGGGAAAGAATTCTAGGAATGTAAATGTGTCTGAAGCAACCATTCTGTCATCAACAACTGACTGATACTCTTACCTTCTGGCAGGTTGACAGGACGTGTGTAGCAGTCTTCAGGCAGGGGCTCTACTTCATCCAAGGCCTGAGCAGGTTCGATCTTTATCTCCTTTTGATCCTCACCTTCCTTCAAACTGCAAGCCGTGAAGACATTGCAGACTTTTGCTGATACCATAAGCAAACCAAGTTCCCTACTACTTACTCTGAAACTAAAAGACCCACAAGAAAGCTTCTATTCCCCTAGAGCTTATTAATCACAACAAATCAGCTCAGTTTAAAACTATATACAAACAAACACAGTGAATTCGGTCATCAAAATGTTAGAAAGCGGAAACTAGAAATAATGGAAATCTATGTACAGGGCAGTGTCCTGTAGCTCAAAATACAGTGGCACCACAGTGTAATGCTTCATTCATGACAAAGCAACTTAATGTGATATTATTACTACCCAAATGATAAAAGATGATAACACAGAAGCTGTTAGAAACAGCTGGGCATTTATTTCCAGAGAAAGAATTCAAACCCATGGCAGACTGTACTCACGAAAGTCCTGCAAGACTAGTAATAGGGGCTCCAGATCTCTGACGCTGAAGCCTTGTACCCAGGCCATATTTTTCCTTCAAAAAAATTACAGTATATTGTTTTTTTTTAATGAACCACAGCCAACAGTAATGCTGTACATTTGTTAGATTAAAAAAATACTGAATTCAAGTCTACTAATAAAACCAAACCCTGTGCCTAACAAATCATTAACTTGTAACTTCTTAGTTCACATAGCGGAAGTCCTATTCAATCAATAAAAAGCCACACTTTCCTTTGCCACCGGGAAATATTTCAACATACTGAAGAATCTAAAATGTGTTTGCTATTACAGACAAGGCTGAAAGACCCTGTGTTGAAGGAATTTAAATAAGCAAAAAAGACAACATAGTAAGAAAACACCCTTAACCAAGCTATGCCTAGTGTTTCTGTGTTTATTTTCCATCATGTGATGATCCTTTTAAAGCACCCACGGCCAATTTGGTTTTAGTCAAAAGACTAAAACACTGCTAATTATGCAACAAGGTCTGAAATGGTTTTAACAGTACAGTCGCTGAGTGTTTTATCTCATCATTCTCCCAAGCAAGGTTAGCCAGTGAGGCTGATCACCCATCTGAGAGCCCAGTTTACTTGAATTTTTGCCTTGTAATTCACCAATTGATTTAATATGGGTGTGTGTTTATTTTCCCGTTTTTAAAAGAACAGCAACAAAAAAGAGGTGTACATAATGTACCAAAATCACAACTATTATATTTAAAATAGTTGTTATGGATGAATCCCGGCAGACACAATTGCTAAATTGGCATCTACCTGTTTTTGCAAATCAACCAATTGCAGTTTTATGGAAAGTATATCTTTTTGAAATAAACACCAAACACACAGAACATTAGCTCTGCCTTATTTAAGGAATTTAGTTTGTGAAAAGGAACTCACCACCACATGAATAGTGTGTTGCTGGGGATAAAAACCAAAATAGCAGCGTGCATTAGCAAAGAAAAGAGAGACAATAAGGTGAAACAGAATTCATTCATCAAACTCTCGATTAGCAGGTGACGTGAGCTAAGTGAGCAACAGCCACAGAGCAGCACAGGCTCAAGAAACAAAGAGACCAGTAAAAAAAGAATGTCAGTGCTAATTGATCAGTAAAACAAGCAATTTCTATATGGTTTCAGGTCAAATTCTGAGAACGTCCAAGATTCTCAAGAAGCAAGTTCAAGACAAAAAAAAAAAACAGTGTGAAGACAAGCAGGCAGTGCACTGTCAGGGTTGCTGGAGTGTATCAAGAAAACAGCACATTGAGGTTACAAGACATCTGTAGTCAGGAAGTGTTGGCTTCCCTGTAAAACAGTACATGTTCTCCTGTTATTAACATGGTAGAAGTATTCCCTTATCTGCAATATGTCACAACTACTTCACCATCCATCCATTTTCTAACCAATTTGTCCAATTCAAGCTTAGGGGAGAGCAGATAGCCCCCCAGGTCTGGAACTGACTGTGTCACCATGCCACCCCAGGTGCTATACCTAAAACAACTTTCCTTCTGTGAAAACTGCTTACCGAAAAGGCCAGAGGCATGTAGGGGCGACGTCGGGCCAATTTCTTCCTGTCTCTCTCCACCTTCTCCCTCTGTGCCAGCTGCTGGTAATATTCTATCAGCTTGTTAATCTGCACAACACAAATGAACTCCCATGAAAGACGTTAACACAGTGTGCCTCCTCTGCGACATCAAAGTCAAAACTGACAGGCAGCCGACTGTCAAAAAACACACTGCCAACTTCCACTTCAACTTCCCATCTGAAATTATTCAGTCATTCTGCTTATTGCTTACCCGCTGGGTGTGGGGATTCTCAGGCTCTTGCCAGCCACCGCTGGCTGCAGAAAGGGAGAGAAAAGAGATTAGCTTATTTCTCCGCAGTTTGAACTGGCTGATTATGCAACAGCAGTCAAAGCTGAAGTGAAACACATTGCGCTCCTGTATGTAAAAGCTCTGAAAGACTATTCATGGAGCCTGGACCTAGATGTAGAAACTATCATGTTTTTATAGGCATTACAGCATGCTCTGCCAGCAACGATACCACCCTCACAACTGGCAGCCCACTGAAGTTAAGCAGGTGTGAGCCTGGCCAGTACGTGGATGGGAGACCTCCTAGGAAAAACTAAGGTTACTGTTGGAAGAGTTAAAAGTGGGGCCAGCAGGGGGCGCTCACCCTGCCTGCTGCCTGTGTGGGTCCTAATACCCCAGTATAGTGACAGGGACACTATACTGTAAAAAAGGTGGATGAGACGTAAAACTGTGGTCCTGACTCTCTGTGGTTATTAAAAGTTCCAGGGCATTTCCCGAAAAGAGTAGGAGTGTTACCCCCAGCGTATTGGCCAAATCTCCCATTGGCCTTTACCAATCATGGCCTCTATGAACTGGCTTCATCACTCCGCTCTCCTCCCCACTGGGAGCTGGTGTGTGGTGAGCGTTCTGGCGCACCCTGCTGGCCATCGCATCATCCGGGGAGAGCGCCAGAACGCTGCAATTTCCCTCACGGGATCAATAAAGTATCTATCTCCTGGGAAAGCTAAGGTAGCTGCTGGAAGAGCTGTCATTGGGGCCAGCAGGGGGTGCTCACCTGCGTTCTGTGTGGGTACTAATACCCCAGTATAGGAATGGGGACACTACATTGGTGGTGGTGGAGGGGGTCCCCAATACCTGTAAAGAGCTTTGAGTGGGAGTGTCCAGAAAAGCGCTCTATAAGAAGGTGTGAGGAATTATCATCAGGGAACTCCTGCATCATCACACACCTACGGACTTGTCGGCCATCCCGACGTCCCGCGAGGTCCAGCGGCAGAACCCGCAGGCCAGGTAGTAGGCCTTCTTCAGGGCCGTCTTGGCGGGGTCATCAGGCAGCGGCGCCGGGATGTTGGTGGCCCGGGTGGACAGGGTGTGCATGCAGCACGGGCAGTCGAAGCAGTTGGCGCACCTGCGGGGGAGAGCCGGTCCGACGGTCAACACCCCGCTGGCGCTCTGCCCCCCCGCGGGGGGGCGACCGCCGTTTCGGGCCTCCGAGGGACGAAGCTGCTTCCAGCCGGGGTGGCGGCTGGTGGCATTAACACTGCCACCAAGACGTTGAGCCCTTGGCCAGCAGCCATATCACCCTGCAGCTCGCCACTGGCAGGCCCACTGAAGCTCAGCAGGTGTGAGCCTGGCCAGTACCTGGATGGGAGAGCTCCTGGGAAAGCTAAGGTTGCTGCTGGAAGAGGTGTGAAAGTGGCCAGCAGGGGGCGCCCACCTGTGGTCTGCGTGGGTACTAATACCCCAGTATAGGAACGGGACACTATCCTGTAAAAAGGCACGGTCCTTTCGGATGAGACGTAATACCGAGGGCCTGACTCCCTACGGTTATTAAAAATTCCAGGTTGTTTCTCGAAAAGAGTAGGAGTGTTACCCTGGTGTTCCGGCCAAGTGTCCCCCCTGTCATTTACCAATCACGGCCTCCTAATAATCCCCATCTATGCACTGGCTTCATCACCCCTTAGCTGGTGCGTGAGGGGCATACTGGTGCGCTATGGAGGCTCTTGCACCATCTAGGTGGATGGTGGTGGTGGTGGTGGTGGAAGGGAGTGCCCATTTCCTGTAAAGCAATTTGAGAGGAGTGTCCAGAAAGGCGCTATAGAAGTGTAAGGAATTATTATTAACACTGTGTGGACTGACTGTCTGGACACTGTGTGGAGATGGGCCTTTCTGTGTTGTTGTTTTTTAAAAAAAAAACAAAGACTGACGCGTCCTCGCTGACATGAAAGCTACTTTCTCACCTGTTCTTTTTCAGCTTGGCTTCAGCTGATGGCATGTTTTCCAAACAGCTGGGACAGTAATGGGAATCCACCTGGAAACGAAGGGTATAAGGGTTTATTTAGACCAATCTGATGCTATCGAGATTCCCTCATGCAGTCGTACATCAAGAAATATTAGGTGTGCAGACAAGCACAGCGCAAAGATGTTGGCAATATTACTCCAACGTGAGGTGCTCTGACAATATGATAAACACATCTATTTCACCTTCAGAAAGAAACGCGTTCGCACGTTTCGTTTATTTAAAAATCGTCTCTAGGGTCTATTTCGCATTTATCAGAACATTAAGCGCGACAACACACACGTACAACATAACATTATTATTATTACATTACATTATTGTATTCCAACTTCACAAATATATACCATTAAAATTTGCCATCCATTTTAAAGGTCAAATCAGTTTGCCCGACTTATGGTGATTGCGTGGCTGAATGAGCCAGCAGTTTTAACTTTGGGAAGCATCACGAACACCCTTATAATAATGACTGGTGTTATCCAGATGTAAAATATCTCAGCCACGTTGTACGTCTTCTAGTCACTGGTGTGAGATTTCGACGCTGACCGCATCATCCATTACTGGTCAACGTTACAATGAAGTCATTTCGCTAGGTAAATATGAAGATCAACCAAGATGGGAAACTACGGATTTCCATCTCCATACTTGAAAACAAATGCCACACATGATCATTTAAAACGAGAAAATGAGTTACAAAACAGATTACTAACAGTAGCTGTACACATACAGAGCTAGGGTGTGGTACATAAAACTGTACTAAAAAAACACTACGTTTTGGGAAACGCGAATATTTCAGAAAATGCTTTTGTAATGGAAAACTAATGTCTCAATCTTCTGTTACAATCTGAGGTTATGGTTCGTATTATTTCAATATTTTCTTTGTTGGCGTCTGAAAACACATTCGGGAAGAAAATAACCATTTTGACAGGCGGTTGGCTACACCAATAAGATTTGCGGAAGAGTTGACTGATTTTAGCTTCAACCAATGAAAACAGCCAGTTTGACCCAGATCCGACTGTGAGCCAATCGTAAACAATATCCACAACAGCATCCACACTGCTACTCCAGACAGCCAATTAAAAACCGGAATGCTTGACACAGGTTACAGCTGACCAATCACACTACAAAGTATGGCACACCGGCGCGTCCCACAGCTTGATTAAGGCGGGTGCAAGCTCAAACAGGCCCGCCCCATACCGACAGAAATGGCTGTCTTACATTGTTAATAATAACAGTTTACACCCCTTAGATATTAGTTTCAGTTACCTCATGAGAGACACACTCTAGGGAGCGCAACTCACTGCAGTACCGACAGAAATACAACTGTGACAGGGGTGCACGAATCTTCTTTTCGCCGCAGACGAGGTACAGCACACGATCCGGCTGCAGCAGAGTCGCCATCTCTAAAACGGTCCACCCAGCTCATTCGTCACATGATATGAGACGCTTCGGGATACAACAGGAGCTTCGTCATGTGACATAGTGTCATGGCGTCTTTTGGGTGTTTATGGGTAATGTAGTTCACACAATCGGGAGAGAATAGAAGGCATTCCTCACGGTCATCATATTTATCATGCGTATCATTTAATGTTACTCAGTCTGCACATACTAATACCATAAGTTACAGTATTTTAAAATCCAATGGTGCGTTAAAGTTAGCTCATCTATAAAGCGTAATTGTTCATTTTCAAAACGAGACAACAGAATATGACTTGAACCTCGGTGATTGACGCTTACGCACACTAAAACTTCCCCTCTGTGCAGCTGTGGAAACATCTGTTTCAAGACATCGTTTCAACCAATCAATCAGCATTTCCTTATGTACGAACAAGCGTCATCTTGTGGACTGTAGTAGTATCTTAGTCAGCACGTCAGGAGAAAGAAACGCACGAAACTAATTTCCACTAGGCAGCAACTACGATATCCTTTTATTCCAAAAAGTAATTATTATATCGAGAAAAATGTACAGCGTTTAACCACAGTAGGGCTGTCCGATGCGCTAGGAAGTTCCCGATACTTTTTTAAAGACATTCCTTGAAGATCTGGGTCTCTGGTGTGTCAAGGTCAGAGTGAACAGCTTTCTTGATAAGGTGAGGATTTTATTAACACTTTCAAATTTTAAAAAGATAAAGGGGTGGAAATATCACTCAGCACCCTTTTTACGTTTTACTGTTGTTTTGTGTTGTTCGAGCCTTGCCGTAGTTTGGGCTTTTTTAGTCTAATACCACATTTTAAAATTTTAGTGTTGCCTTTAGTGCGTACATTTTGATAAGTGTGTGGAATTACTTGATCATCGTTGAACTATTGTAATTCGTGTTGATCTCATCGTCTTTACGCGTCCAGTAATTTACGTGTATATCACAATAGTCCGCCTATGAGACTTTTTATACGAATTACACGATTATTAGATTAAAAATATGACCCATTTATCAAAAGATCTGAATTATTTTTCTTAAAAATAGACACAATACGAATCTCAGATATAAAAGGGCAATAAAATAGATATAAAGGGATTTTTCAAAGTAAAAAACAGTTTTCTGCAAATTTCATTGTGCTTCTGATATAATTTTTGTTCTCATCAATATATCAATATATTTCAATGCCATAAAAATGCAAAATGTCCATATTTTAATTTTTCTAGGAGCTAGGTTCTCAGACCTTTAATTGAAAAACATGGACACTGTCTGGGAACCTTTAAAATGTAGTATGAATTAAACATGCCTGATGTGGCTGCATTCAGGTGGATGCTGCACATTGGTGGTGGTGGAGGGGAGTCCCTATTACCTGTAAAGCGCCTTGAATGGAGTGTCCAGAAAAGCGCTATATAAGTGTAAGCAATTATTATTATTATTATTATTATTATTATTATTATTCCAAAAGAGCAATACATTTGTGACCCAGTGAAGTGTGCTTGAGTACATTTGAGTACTTTGTCTCCACATGTACTGTATGTACTTCCTATCACAGAAAGTACTTTCCATCACAGATAACAAATAAAATCACTGACCCAACATTACACAAAAGATCTGTTTGCCAAACAAAGGTATCTGCTGAGAGTTAAACAGTATGTGTGTATTTTAGCCTCTACACCTCTTCTAGTTGTGAAATAAGCCCCACCCCTCGTCACCACCCTGTGTTGCAATAAGGTTCTATCTCTGAGGATACAAAAGTTACCCAATTTGAAGAGGTATCGGTACAAAGTTTAAAAGTCTGATTACAAATCTGTGCTCAAACTGACATCAGCAGACTGACGTCATAGGTGTCTAAAATCTCATTCCCGAGCTAGGACTGATGTACAGTAACACCAAGATCGATGGGAAGAGTTAATCATTCACTGCCTTAATAGTTCGTCTTTAGTTGGATGTGGAGGTCTAGGGAGAGCTACAAGTTATGTACTTCAGCTCTGAAACATATTTCCATTTTTTTTTGCAAGGTGAATTATTTTTGGGTTTTATGTTACTGCCAATTATTTGTTTGAAGTAGCTCCAAGTGATCTGTTTCAAAGAATAACTTGCTCCTGTCTTCCAGTTAGTAGTCTAGAACCCTAACGTTGCTCCACACTCCCATCCAGATGATTGTGATAGTGAAGATGAGTTTCACTAATAATGTTTTACATTAATGATCCCATTACAAATCTGTCTTATTCTTTTTGATTTTATTTTTAAAGGGCTGGAAGCCAGTGTCCGTCAATATCATGGAAAGCCCAGTGATGGAAAACCCAGTGCAACCACAACACATTCTGGACCTCTGGGCCATTGTCCTGGTCATTCTGGCCACGATTGTGGTTATGACCTCCCTGTTACTGTGTCCGGCGGTGTCCGTTATAATCTACAGGATTCGGACTAACCCAAGCAGAAATGAGATTGAATGACTCCGGCATGAATGAACAGTCCTTCTTCTGCAGAACAACGCCAAAAAGTTCCACATGCTGTTTGTTCACAGAACATGTGAGTCTGACGCAAGCATGCAAGAGCCTTGAAAGGGATCTTCCAGACTGCTGCAAGAATTTTGCACACCATATAAGAGGATCGTAGTCATTCGAAAAAAGGCATCCTTTCTTCCTGCAATAAGATAGGACGTACACACTGGTGGTTTACCTCTAGGTTTTGTTTCTACTCACAACTACATGATTAATCCTACATGATTGCTTCAGGAAGATGAACTTAAGTGCCTGCTAATAAGATTTTGTCTGGTGAATGCTAAGACCTCACTGCTTCAATTGAACTGTGCTGGGATACACAGTTTATTCTAAAGGGGTTCTCGAGTCAAGGGACAGTGCAAGGTATGAAGAAGAAGTTGTTTTTGGCATATGAATGGGATACATTTCCATCCCAAACCAAAGAACACTTTGTTTCTGTCCGAACTGAGAGAGATGGTTATGTTATGCTATTTTTGTAAAGTTACGGTACAAACAGTATTACAAATGCTTATAAAGCAGACCATTTGCTATCAAAAAGCAGTCTTTACAGTAAAGTTACAGTACAAACAGCATTAAAAATGCTTATAATGCAGGACATTTGCTTTTAAACTGCAGTCTTTACGGTCTTTTATATTTTATTATTAGATGTACAGGCGATGGAGGAAATTATATGAAACTGACAATATAAACTATTAAATATGATCGATTCTATGGAATATTTCACAAAAAGAAGAGTAAACAAGAACAAAAAATGTTTGCCAGTGCACTGTATTCCAGCCAGCTGCGGGAAGCAAGGTACTATAAAGGGTACTGAAGTGAGCAATTAATTGCCAAGATGGCTTCATGCTGTTTACATAAGAAACGTGTTTTTCCCCACTATCTCTGTTGTTTTGCCAGTTTTCTGTTCTGTGGGCAAGTGCACAATACCCTTGTCCTCTTAATTCACAATCTGCCAGTCAGTTGTGCACAAGGTCAAAGATATCTAATAAATGCAACTTTTGGATTGATTTGTTGGTGAGCTGTCAGGCTTCGAATTGAACAGAATAAATCTGGTAACCAAAAAAAAACTATTATTAAATGAAATGTCACTTGTACTAAACGGCAGTCTTAGTTTCTACCCCTACTACAGTTTCAGTCACTGTAAGAAAAGCAAAACCTTACAGTGCACAATCAAATGTGTAACTCTTGTGCTTTTAACTTGTGTAGTTACACATATGCTTGTTCCTGCTTTTGGCATCTTCGAAAACACAGTGCTGTGTGACAAGGTCTTTTTCCTCCAGAGTCTCTCACAGGAAGCCTCTGCACTCTGTTTATACCATACATACAGTACTGCTGATAAGCTCTGTAAACAGGAAGCAAGTGTTTACAGTATCTTACACAGTACAATAAACATCTTCCTCAAACCCTGTCTCTGTCAATCACAGATACTTTTGATATGATAATAATGGTATTTTGCCTCTTTATAAATGCATACTCACTAGATGCAGTTTTTAATGTACCATACAGTTGTGTCAAAGATAAAACACATACTGAAAAACACAACTTTAACATGAAGGGTAAAAGACACCTCAGTAGAGAGTAAAGAGCATAACACCTTTTCTGAAGATTGTCTTACCCATTATTGTAATAGCAGGAATGGAGAATAAGGGGATTAAGTATTGACCTACTGTAGGTATAGTTAGGAAATGATACAGCTCTTTGCAGTTTTGACTTCTCCCCAAACAGCCTGCAGTAAATCCTGATTGCACAATATGATGACACAAATTTACTTGTCTGCCTCAAGGGTTCATGTCAGGTGCTTTCATTTCAGGACTTCATGCTGGTGTCCCGCTACAATAAATAAATATCAGCCTACCCTTTCTCAACAAGCTGTAGTCATTAATTAGTCAATTTTCTGTATTATCGATTAAATTGTGCTCTTTGTTGTCAAAATAAATGGACAAGGACAGATAGCTGATAGATAAATGTATTTGCATAAATTCACCATGCTGCAGCTTGTTATAGCATGTCATTCAAATGCAAGATTGTGCAAGGAACGTGTGATACATTCATTCTTTTATTCTGTTTTGTGTATATGTGTAAGCACTGTGAATGAAAATCCAGAACAAAAGAAAGTGTTAAAAGAATGGTTTATCTGATTCAAAAGTAGGATGCAATATACTGTATTCTTCCTAAACAGGATTTTTTTTTTCTCTTTTTTCTTACTTTCAGTCTTCCATTGTACAGGCTGGGAAACACTCTCTGTGGAAAGTAGATCAGCTTACGAATTGCAGCTTAAAACATTTTTTTTTAATTAAACTTAACTGTGTGTTAAATCCTTCATTTGTCTGGTTACAGACTCCAGGTAAATAACATGGAAGTGTATTCAATCCAATAAAATAAAAATTAAAATGCATTAATAATAACTGTCAGCTCACAACATATCTGGGGGGCGTCACACACATTTGCTTGATTTGATTACAGCTGAGCTTAATTACTTAATCGAAACTTCAATTGAACTAACAGTTGCTTGATCAGACTTTTCTCCGTTTAGATTTTTATTATTTTATTTCCAAAATGCTGTAGTTAAAAGACAACCTCAAACATGTTTAAGAGCTAAAAATCAAACAGTTCAAATTAATCCTGTTATTAAGTCAATTAAGGGTTCAATTGTGTAACGGAGTGCTTGGTTGAAACAAGACCAGCAGGCGTGTTTTGCTCCTGGAAAAGAACAAGGAAATCCTGCATTAGGTTTTAACTCAAATAATGCTCATATCAGTTCTTATAGTGAACAGAGAGGGGTTTTATTTCCGGATCCTGGATATGGACACTAAGAATGTACAGCTCTGAAAAACAGATTACACAGTTCCAGACAAGTTGAGGCAAGGTTGGCCTTCGTACGAAAACCTGTAGTGTCGGCGCTAGACCTGAATTATTGCCTGATCTTTTTTTTGTCATGGAAATTCCTGCTGTAGCATTAAAAGTCAACGGTTTACTATTTTTGGACAGTGGTGTTAAAACCTGAGGTCTTGACTCGCCTACATTCCACACGATACTCAGATTTAGCCACTTTGTGATAAGAATGAAAACAGACGAGGAAAGATAGAACTCAGAAGAAAAACAAAACAGAGCAAAAACTGCAATAAAACCACATGGTTTATAGATTCCAAAGTATTCTCAACAATAGTAATTGTACTGTATCCCTCCATTGATTACCAAACAGTTTCCTATTACAGGTAAGGGGTGTGACAACTTTGAACCTGTGGTGGAAGTACAGGGCACAAGGCGCACAGATACAGGAACCATTTAGAAAAGACCTACCCATTAACCTAGCCAATTTGGGAAGAAAACAATTCTTGTAAATGTGCCTTTTTATTTCACAGCTTTGCTCTGTCATTTGGTCAAGCAGTGCAAAACCTACAAGTCTATTGTTTTAAAGAAACTGCAGATTTTTTAGCATCTCAATGCCAGTCAACAGAAGATGACATTTGAAGAACAACACTGCTACATAACCCTGGGCCTGAAACTTCGAAGAGCAAAAGCTGCCCCCAAAACTGTCATATATTGATGAAACTGTACTGTACTTACTATGGTTCCATATTGGAAAAAAAGCAACCTGCTGGTTAAGATGATCTAACATTTTCAAATACTGTAAATGTATAAATAAGGTGCTTGAGGTTTCAGCAATTTGATTCTCATCATGAATATACAACATCATGAAAGATATAGTATACAGTATATGTATCAGTAAGAATAAAAGGCTGTAGTCTAACATCTGGGAGAATTACTCCCTTCAAGAACTACAGTTCAACTTTAAAATTGAGTTTCTCTCTTTTGTTTTCAAGTATACTTTCTGTTTAAAAAACAAATAAACCAGTGAAGGATAAATCAGATTAACTATCGTAATCCTAATAACTTTAGTAACTAAACTTGACAAAAAAGGATTGTATAATACTAGAATTAAAGTAGTAATTTTTTAAAATGTGCTGCTTCTAATTTGAGTTCAAGCTTAATGTAGTGTAGCTTATATAGTGATGTACTATATAAAAATGAAAAAAAAAATACTTAAAAGATCAGCCAAACGTATTGCATTCACAGCAAAACCACTGTACTTCATGCTTTGTTTAAATGACGTCAATAGCTATCTCACAATCATCTTCTTTTATCTGCTTTCTAGAATAGTCTAGCTGTCTCTGGCTTGGTTTTGCTCTTCATTTTCACTTTGAATCATGAGAGAAACCATTTATGACACAGGGGTTTTGTAAGCTGACACATTTTAGACATTCTCAAAATCATGAATGTCTTTAACCGTCCTTCTCCACTGTAATTCTACTATGTAAAAAAAAAAGTTGCTTTTGATAACTTAATGGATTTTCAGGTTTCCATAAGCATAATGCTTAAATGATCTCTCTTGATAGAAATAATTGGATCTTTCCTGCAAAAAACAGTAGTGTAGCTCAGAGGTTTCAGCTGATATCTTTGCATCTAACTTCTACTCAGTGAACGCAGATGGGAATAATTATGTAAATCCTTCCAGGACCAGTTCAATCCTGTTAATGTTTTTTGCAAGTAAAATTAAAAGGTTTAAATATTTGCCCCATATCAGAGAGATTTGCTTGCCAATTCAAATAAAAGTGAACCGACACGACTGGTGTTGCCAGAGGTACTTGGCAATGCGCTTTTCCTCTAAAGACCACTCATATCATTCCTTCATAGGCAAAAATTAACAACAACCTTGCTGCAATTGATGGATGGGTTTCAAAAGTTTAACAAGATAAAAGTTCTTAATTTGTTGACAAATACTGATCTGTTGATATTTCGTTTGCAAATGGAGAATGCACTTTCTAAATGCCCAAATATTTAAAACAATACTGGTGACAAAAGTGTCACTGAAATTTAAAGTGACATCATTATTGGCAATTTCAGAGCATTTAAGACAGTAAGCCTTTAGTGCCACTGAGACAGTAAAGTCTTGTTTTGAAGTTTTAGAAAACGAAGCTCTTGTGTGAACTGAGCAGTTCAACAGGGTAGAAAGTTAGCTTGCTTTCTACAGTACTTTCTGTCTCAGCTTTGAGTTTAAGAGCCTTTGAATTTCTTATGAACTCAGTACCTAAAGTATGCAGGATGCACATAAGAGCAGGTTTGCTTGGATTGTCTGCAGACAAGATCATTTACACAAAGCTACACTTTTTACTGATTGTTCAAAATTAACTTCAGTTATTGGTGGTTAATCAGAATGCTGTTGAAATTCTTTTTAAACTGACATCAAGAGGCTAACAGTTAATGGCAAAGTTGAACAATACTTTCTTGAACTATATAATGGTATCCTAAGAACACCTTTTAATGTGTTGAACATGAATTTGTTGATCAGCTTGTTTTTTAAAAGGAAGAACGAGATGCAAACACTCCTTGAACCAGAAGGTGGTGCTTCAGCCAAAGTCATCACACCTTGTACAGATCTCAAGACATCAATATCGTGGGACACCGTTAGCCTTCTTAAAACTCAGAAAGCTTCCTAAACAAATTACATCGCCTTCCAACGTCTGTCAAACCCTAACCCTAGCTATCCAGTACCTGAAACCATCCATGTCTTCTTAAGTGAGAGGTACACCAGCAAGCACTATGGTAACACTGCAAACAAGTGTTTCTTTCCGGTGTCAGAGTACAAAATCAGCAGAAGCACACGGCTGGGAAACAACGGGTTTCAAACATCCAGCGGCAGACATCACCGCAAATTGGAAACTAAAGAGCGCGGAAGCTTCTATATGATCGTCCACAGGCAACGCCAGCATCGCCCATTTAGTTATCATCGTTATACTGTAACTGAAGTTTAACACGAGTAGGTCAAAATTTTGACAGTGGGCTAAATATGATTTATTTTTAATATTTGGGTGTTTAGTCTTGGTTTCAGTCATTTCAAAAATATGTTTGTCCACAAAAAAAAATACAATACTGTATTCTAGGAAAATAGCCCAGTGATACTAGCTTTATTCAGATTATTTGCAGTGTCAAAAGTTAATATCCATATATGTATATATACAGTTTAATATAAACTACAGTAAGTACTTCACAATAGCTGTCTAGTGGCAAAAATACATTATGAATGTAGTGACAGACTTGTGACTTCTGGGAATAAGATGTCAGAAAACACTAGCTCTATCAGTTGGATCACACCGTGAGATATATTTAGAAGGCGTTTCATGGCTAATTTGCCAGCAAAATTTAGTGAAGTGTCAGCACAAAGATACTGAACTATATTGTCTTTGAGGTCACGGCTAGATAAGAAAGTACCAATAACATCCCTACAGTAGGTATTTGTTTTAGACTTTCTTCATGAGCAAGTCTGATAAAACAAAGCCCATAGTGTAATCTGTAAAAGAAACTTAAGAGCTCCAATGAAGACTTTTTGGTCTCAGAGAACTGAGTTCTGACGTGTCACTATTGTATAAGAAATTCCAAACAGTCTATGAAAACTTTACAGTATCTCAAGAAATCTCTCAGTTTCTCAGTTTCAAAGCACACAAAAGGTCAGGGCACAGCAAAATTACCTTCCTGCTACGGTATATTTCCAGTTATTCTCACCTCATACTGTTATTTCTCCCTGCACAAGCAGAGAGCCTGATAAAAAAAGCTAAACAATTTTAAAAATAGTAGTAATAGTGTAACTAAATTAATGACTAAATTGTGTTTAGCATGTATGATTATGGGTCAACAGGTTTTTATTCTAAAGAAGCTGATACAGGGATCATCCTTGTTTAGTTTAGAAGAATTTATGGTAGGGAAACAGGGTAGTTTGACTTAATTGCTTTTCAGCTTATCATGATTGAAAAGAAAATAACATTTTATTTATGTAAGTGTTTATGAAGTCCTTTTATTTTGTTTAAATTTAATAGTGCTAAAATTAGATTAGCAAATATAAGCATACAAAGAGACCCGTACCATCACAGAAAAAGGTGATTTTTAACACCATCTGAAGAAAAACATCTGGCTTCAATCCCTTTCAGCCAGACAATATGCTCTCTCTGTGATCTTCCCACTAAGAAGATTATACACTGAAATATAATTTCTGTCATCTTAAAGATGATGTGTAATCTTCAGTGACAAGGACACAGCTTTTTCACAATTTTTGTGACTTCAAACCACTCTCATTGTGAGGGCTGTTACATTATCGAGGACATTTTATGCCAGCAGGTCAAATGTTGGTTTTGTGCATCATTTTATACTACATTTAACTAAAATAAAACCAAACTAAAATTCTGATGAAGAACTAAAATTCTTAGTTCTACTGTAATTTTAAATAAAACACAAATTTACAGTCTATCTGGAAATATTTGTACTGATTTTTGCAATTCTAATACTATAAATGTCACATTTTTACCTATTCAGTGTAAACCTCCAACCTTTATCTAGCTCCTCTAAAAAAAACACTTTGGATTTTGATTCCTTAAATTTACAGCAATGTCCTGTATAACATCATACAACGCTAGTATATTAAGGAAAAATGACATTTACAATTACTACTAAAAATACTATTGTTTACTCATGGCAGACGACCGGTCAGTGTTGAATATTTTGCATCAGATAATCTGTCAACAAGACGTGGCTCTCAGGATAGCCAACACTATTGCTTCACCAGGGAAGAAAACTAACAGAACTACCGATAAGAAAAGTCACACACAAGACCACCATTTGTGATGGACTGCCTGCCTGAAAACAGACCAGTCCGAGGGCTACAGTGAGTATAATGAGATTACTGATCTGTACACACAGCTTGATGAACTGTAATAAAGAGCTTGTGGCTTTTTTTTCTCCATGTTTGCTTGACCGGTGAACGGACGGTCAAGTCGAGGTCACATCCTATGATACCTTTGGTCCCTTCGAGAACAGGCATGTTTCGGCTCTCAAATAACAGGCGCGTGTTTATGTTAAAAAGTCATGTAAAACTGACCTCCAGAAGGCAAAGCTGTGACAAACAACTGAATCATCTTAATTCTTTTATGAATCCTGACAAGCAAAAGCATTTAGTATTATATTTATAGGTTTGTATAAGCACTTTCAACATATTTTAAAATATATACTGTATAAGATATTTTGAATTTGTGCCCTAGCTATTACACCTACAATGTATTTAATATGACAGCCAGAGCTGAAAAGACATTTAGCATACAGTGGTTAAGTCAACAGCCACCATTAACCTTCATTGCTGGAGTTATTTGCTGGAGATTTTCTATGGACAAACCCTGTTTGGAACATATATAAAACCATGTCTCTTGAGTCATACTACCAATATCAGTACAATGTCACTGATCAGCCATTCAAAGCCAACAATAATACTGTTCACATTGACTGTTTATTAGAAACAGTTTTTTGAACAAATGGATCCTGATTTGGAGGGAGAATTTCC